TACAGCGCCACTTACAGGCCTGGCATATGTACTACAGCGTCTCCAGCACTTTCGAGCGGCAATGGCCCAATTGTATGAAGCTGCAGCGTCGGAGACTGCACTCTCACGACCGCACTCCCACGACCCTAGTTGTTTTGCAACATCGCCGTACTTACCATAGACTGTATATATAAAGTAACATATTATATCTTATATTATTAATATATATATAATTCTGATGAAACGTTATTTAAGCGTCAATAAATGATTGTTAATCCCAGTGTGTTTAGTGTATAACATCACATGTCATTTCACGGTTTTCAAAACGTTAGCCACATGCTAATGCTAACCAGAAATGAAGACTTTTCAGAATAAAAGTGTTAAGTTAATAGTTAGTGTGAACTTCCGGGTTTTTCGGCATAAAACTGCTTTAAATTAAAACCCTGTATTTCATTTAGATTACGTCATATCAACATTGAAACATTGAGGTTTTGGGGTTTAAATTTGAGAGGTTTTGGGGTTTAGGTCTGGGAGGGAGGAAGGAAGATTAGGATTAGGTAAAAAGGTAGGGAGTGGTTAGGGTTAGGATGGGGGGAAGGGAAGGGTTAGATTGAAGGGAGGGAAGAGAACTGCTACCCGGGAGCTACTCGCTAGATGGCAGTGTCACGAAAAACTAGGGTCGTGGGAGTGCGGTTGTGAGAGTGCAGCCTCCGACGCTGCAGCTTCATGCTACTCCAATGGCCGGCCGTGGACCAACCTCTCATTCCCCTGATAGGTGGAGAATTGATCACTAAGCGGAGCACCCCTTTTGTGACGTAGAAAATAATTCAAATCTGGATCAGTCTGTATCAGATCCGTTGCAGCCCCGTTTTTACAGATTTGGGTATAGAGGAAAAGAGAGAGGGTTGTATTTTCTGACACTTGGTGAGTTCCCTGACACACCGGGGACACATACTGTATTCATGTATAAAAGACGTACAAGAGTGCATTTTGCATGATAGGTCCCCTTTAATTTAAGATTTACATTCTAAGTTTCTCTAAGTTTAAGACAAGGTCACTAATATTGTGTCAATTAAAGCCAATGACTCATATTGTAAGCTTTCTTTGCTCATTATAAATCTTAATTTAAGAAATACATTCTTAGTCAACTCAACCAAACCACTAATTTTACGTTATTCTTTCTTAAATAATTCAGGAATCATTGCTTGTAATAAGCTAAATGTGCTTACATTTTTTATTTTTGTCTAGTTTCAAGGCCCATTACGGTCTTTCAGTAGCTAGATTTTAATTCTAGTTTTAAGAATTCTAGCCAAGCAAATTTGGCTCACCCCATTGGCAGATTTGTTTGCTTGATACAGGAACATCTGACTTGATTCAACAATATTTTGCTTGTTTTTGGAAGGGCTGTTTTTGCAGTGTATTTTATATGCAGTGCTGGTACTTGAGTCTGTTACTTTAAAGTGGGGGTGTGCCAACCTTCATCTGCTGCAGTGAAAACACTCATTTTGGATAAGTTTCTCACACAACCCCATTCAAAAACTAAATCCAGATTGCTCAAACGACTCTTTCCAAATGTAACATACTTTGACGCCTGCTAAGATGCCTGTTGTTGACACACTGAAGTCCAGGTAGGCCAACATCTCTGGGGTCGGGGGCTTGTACATCTGGGGAGTCTTCTTCCTGGGCAGATCATCTGGAGGATGAACAGAAGGAGAGGTGAAATGTTTTTAAAAAAGAGTACTGAAATCACAGACCATTTTTTTCAAATCAAATATCTACACTCTGGTGGCAACATGAGCACATAAATTGTGTTGTATATGTATGAATAATTCACCTGTGTCCAACACCATGGGCCAGCTCTTGATGTCCACGGCAGCCGCAGCCTCTTTGGATTTCAGCAACTTCATTATTGCTTGACTGGTTAGGATACACACCGATTTACTGACCTTTAACACAGAGATACAACAGTATTACTACTTACTATTCACATAATTTAAGCCCCAAAATGGAGCAGGGCTGACTTTGTATATAATTCAGTTTATTTCATGTTTCAATAGCCATACATTCACCAGGTTTAATGATTGTAATTTGCAGGATGTGATCCTTCATTCAACATGTAGAGGTTTCCTTGTGCAAGATGCTTAACCTTAAATGTGTCGTGAAGGCATGGCCATATGGTAACAAAGTGTATGTAAGTTGTTTTGGATAAAATGACTTGTAATGGATTAAGTAAGCATTTTGATACAGGTTGAACGACTCTCTGTTACCTCAACAATCATCTTGACGGTTGGCAGGGTGGTCGCCAGGTTCTGGGGGTGGGGGGGTCTGACAGTGACTGGCACACAGCCAGCGTACAGGCAGCCATAGAAAGTGGCAATCAGGTCGATTCCTGCAGAGTTATGTTAATACTTAGAAAACGGATTTCCAAATGTTATACCTAGTAGTTGATCAAAGCTTTACAATTATACTGAGAACTTTATTGAGTCTTTTCTGTTGTGGTTTTGATTCATAGACAGACTCAAACAGTGAAGAAAAGACAGGGCCCAGCTTAAGAACAGTACTCAAAGGAAAAGCAGCATAGTAGCAGTAGCAGCTCTTACCTGGGGGGTAGACGAGTGCTACATGATCTCCAGTGTTGAGGCGTCCCATCAGCGCTGTGGCCACCCGCTCTGCCCGCTTGTGCAGCTGCAGACAGGTCGCTGTGCTCGCCACCGTGCCCTGAAGAGAACACAAGAAACATGCATTTCACACACTCAATGAACAGATATTAAAGTTGTAATTCTCAAGATGATGAATCAACAAGCAGAGATTTTAGTTTGAAAAAAAAGTTTTCTTCTGCGCGTGATGCAAACCAATATGTTAGACTTCATTAATTATCAAACTCAAGCTTTCAAACTCTGATCAACAAGCCCCTCCCATTTTACTCCACACTTGTATTAGGACTACTGTTTATATTTTTTTGTTTTCTTTGTATTGTTTCTGTTCTGATTTTATGTAAAGCATCTTTGAAAATTAGGAAAAGCGCTATACAAATCCCATGTATTATTATTAATAAATATTATCATTATTTTTTGGAAAATGACATCACTGCAATAAAGTGCCATGATTCATCAGTCATTCAAAAACCTTAATCCGCCAAAACAGATGTTTCTAATGTTTTATCAGTGAACAGTTTCTAAGTGTATTTACAAGAAATGAACAGTAATTGCGATGGTAAAACTAAGTTTTATATACATGATGAAAAGGGCAGTACCTTAGCATTGAGAACTAGGAACAGAGGATGGTCTGGAGTGGCCTGAGCTCTCCATTGCAGCACGTCCTGTATGTACAGGAACTAAAGGGGAGAGAGACACAACAGTTTAACTCCAGAGAAATGAGACAGAATACTGACAGACAGAAACTGAGACCATGATGAATCTCTGCACAAACAATGTAGAATTAATGGAGCATGGTGGCACAGTGTGGGTTTTTGTAATGAAAGGATGACAGACGTGATGGGCTACAGTATATGTGATAAGGAAGAGTAATGGATGTAATACATGCTGGAAGGGAAATCTAAATGATGCTACAGTTGTTTTATCAGATAGCTCCAGCAGCGGGAAGTCCTCTCCATCAGCTGTTTGTGTTTCAGATTCCTCGACCTCCTGTATGGATGCTCACCTGTGTGTGTGTGCAGGTGATGAGAGGATGAAATGAGGATGACTACCTTACGTGCCTGGTCATTGTCCTCCAGTTGGCCCACGTCTCTCCCACAGGCCTGTGCTATCCTCTTGCCTGCCACCAGGTTACCCACTATCATAGAAGCAGGACCGACCTCTGTCCAACACAACACATTCAGGGAGGTCAGCTCTCACAGTCAATAGGACATAAATATGAACACCAAGAAATGTAAATCAATTTATGAGATGCATGCTGGACAATCTACCTGGCTGTTTTTGTCTTGGCTTGGGCAGGTTGGTGACACATGTGTGAGGACACATGAGGACGTTGCAGGGGTGCAGGGCGCCCTCCAGGAAGCGCTGTTTGGTCTCAGATATGTGGATGCCCCCCAGCGGAGCCTTGGGAAGCGTGTTGGCCGGCACCAGAGCCAAGCAGTACACCCCCACCTGGTGGATGCTGTCTATGGCCTGGAAACAGACAGGAAATACACGAAAAGTCAAGTTTTAGCTTCAGTGAACACCTTAGGGGATGTTATTCTTGTTTTTAGATTTGAGATTTTCTCTATATATGTGTACATAGTAGTCAAATGTTTTGTTCAGCTTTGTTGTCCATGTTTTTAACCGTACTGTATATCTATATCAATTTCTTGTTTGTGTACACATTGAATTGGTCATTGCAGCTGATTCTATGCCATTTTATTTTATATGCTTGTGTGGATTAGAAAATAAACCTACAACTGGGACATAAAGTGACCATAACATTGGACGTGTAGTTTTCGTCCACATCAACTAAGACCACTTTACATTTGTAATGCCAATTTTCCGAAGCTTGCTTTAAGGACATACTGTTTTTGTATCTTTATGTTGCAAATCAATAGCAGCCTTGACCACCATTTTTACGACATTCAAAGTGTATTCACTGTCACACAGTATCTCAAGGATTTGTCATCTATTTATATATATAAACAAAATATGATATACTTGAAGGAAGAAAATGTAAACCTTGCAACATGCTGTAAAACCACTTAGTAAGGAGTAATATTAACTAATTAGACCTGATTTGCTTTTATTCAAGTAAAACATGTGAAGCCACAGGTATAGTCCTTCAGTAATCTGTGTCTATCTGATAATAAGAGGTCAAAAAGAGCAGAGTTGGCACCTGAAGGACTCGGCTCATCCACTGGAAGCTGTCTTCTTCAGAGGCGTCCGGCCGCTGCTCCGCGACAACAACGATCCTCTCGTCATGCAGCACGGACACAGAGAACACTGCTATCCTGGAACACAGCATAGAAAAGAACACTGTTACGGCTGTCTTTAGATAGAAGACACATCTGTTGGGAAATGTAGGGTTTGCTTCCTCTTTTACCTTCCCCTGTACACAAACTTCATGGGCTCCACTGCCAGGGCTGTGGCCACCACATCATCTGCATTGTGTCTCCGCCCACTGACCACCATCAGCCCATCCATCTTCCCCACAATAAACACAAGGCTGTCCTGGTGGGAAACGCAAAAGACATAGCATTTATATGGGGATCTTGATTATTTACCTTAATCTAAAGTACAGTGTGTATTCATCCAGTGACTTCAGAATTCCTTTTTTGAGTGAACTAACCCTTTGAACTAACCCTTTACCTAATTGATGATGGGGATGTATAACAAATTAGGTCTATTTGAGTTATAGGCAGACCTATCCGTAAGTAGCATTTGCTGCCAAAAATAAATCATACTAACCGGCCCCACAAAGCCCAGCAGTGACGTTCTGGTAAAGGGTCTGTCGCTGATGGGAATCCCAGACGATGTAACTGGGATGGTCTGTAAAAAGAAACAATACAGTTCAAACATATCCGCGTATGAAGTATAAAAAATGTGGAAGGAGGAAGTGCATTTAAGCATTTAGACTGTGGGTTTATTTGAACAGTTCCATAAATAGGACACTAACCTCAAAGATGTTCTTGGTCATGCCCGGCAGGCCGTAGTAAGCTACGCCCGTGCAGCCGGAGCTCATGCAGATCTCTCCCACCTCGTCAGTCTGACAGAGATAGGGTGTCCCCTCCACCCGCACCACACACACCAGAGCTGGAGACAGGGAAGGATGATAGGGTGGGGCATTAGGAGCAATAGATATCATTTAAAGTAGATTCCTATTTGGATAGCTTAATTCTTAACCTCTGGGAAAACGTTATTTGGTTTTAAGTTAATCATTAGGTAAAGTTTATTCCAGCAAATCATTTTATTTATTTTTTAAATAATTGCTTTATTATGGTCAGAGAGTTCCTTTAATACTGTTTTAATGTTGTATTATATTATAAATAATAAGCATTTGCCTAATGTTTTTACATAAACACCTTGATAACATCAGCTGGTACATACCAACAGATGCAGAAGAAACCATCAAACAAGATCATTTAATAATTTCAATGTCAACATTGACATAGTGGAAGTGAGAACCCTTCTGTGTCTTTTTTTTTTTAATATCCTAACACGTCTTATCTGATTGCCTCCATTTTCCGGGGACACACAGTGATGTGAATTCAAAATTATCTTTTCATCTTCAGAATCTTCCTCGGCAACAGCACCAAAATGTTAATAAGCAGCGCAGTGTATCATACCTCCGGGCATGACCTGTCCCACATCCTGCACTGTGAGGACAGAGAGCTTCTCCTCTGTGTCCACACGGATCACACTGTGGCTCAGCCCCCCCATAGACAGCACCGCCTTTCCTGGAGGAGGAACACCCATTTCTGGAGGTCTGCAGAGAGTAGACAAAATCACAGTTACACTCCTTATTACTAAACACAGTGACACACATAGGAGGATATGGAATTAAAGAGATCTGTAACGATCATTTCCTGATCATGCCAGTTCTATCTTAGTTAATGAAATACAGCTCTGCCTTAGTACTTTGTCTCTATTGCAGAAGTACTGAGACCTTAAAAAGAGGTGAATGGTTTTGGTAGAATATGACGACTATGTAAAACTGGTAGACACTCTCAAATATTTATCAAAAAGGTTTTTCTCTTTCACATACATAACCTTTTTGAAACATATTTTTTAAGTCAAGCTCTCATCCTGATCAGCCAAGAGCTGAGACATCCTATCCATTTTTTTTAAACAATATGTTTATACATTTTTCCGACATCCTATCCTTACAGGCAGTACAAATCTTCCTCCTTTGCTTGGAGTATCCAGCTAATCTCATACTGTGGTGTGATTGTATAACACAGTAAGTGGTGGTGGTTTTCCTTTTCTTATAGAGTGCAGTAATAGCAGCTCACCTGCGGATGGCGACAGTCATGGCTTCTGAAGAGCTGGCACATGGACAGATCACCTCAGGTCGCAGCCCACGTGCCTGAAACACGTTGAGGAAGGCGTCGCAGGAGGAGATAGACCCTGTGATGACACACACACACACGCACACACACACACACACACACATACATACAGTAGATATTCAGAGCCAGTCGCACAGATATACAGGCAAACACACACCAACCAATCAGTGATAATCTTTTATGGCTTCAGGCTGTCGACAGAGATATTTTATAAATGAGAACCTGCAGATGGACTCACATGGGTTAGCTCCGTCAGCTACGATTAGCATGCGCAGCGAGCTCAGGCTGATGTCTCTCTGATCTCTCTGGGCCAGCAGGGACCAGTGCATGTCCCTCGACTTCACCACTGCAACCCGCGCTGTGCAAGGGGACACAAAGACAAAGGTTCACAATAGAGTCATCCAATCAAAATGTCTGTCAACAAGCTTGAGAGCCAATCACAGATCACAAAATCTGACAGCAAATAGCAGAGTGGATTGAGTCGGTTGCCAACAGGTGACTCAGCGAAGCTTGGACTAGAAAGTAGATGTATTTTATTCAACTCAGCCTCCTGTCCTCGACCTCCACTGGGCTAACACAATCAATGAGTCTAACAAACGGCTGCTTCCATCCATCCTCCACTGCCAAATGCCTTGTGCAAATCAGAACTGTTAGGAGAAATAAGCTCTTTATGGACGCCAGCTTTAATCTCACGCAGATACTAACATTAACTTATTGATGGGTAAGCTGCCAGCTACCAAAGAGTTTTTCTCTGACATTTCTCATAAAAAACCTGTTAAGATGTATGTGCTAAGTAAGATACAATGCACTACAATAGGTGGCAGAACGTTCTCTACTGAATGCAACACATACATGGCTTTACCCTTCAATTAGATACAATTAGGTAACAGTTTATCCTATATTAAATCCATGTTTATAGGGCTAAGATGCAGCAGAAAAGGGGAAAAGGGACAAATGTCAACAAGTATGGACCCTCACCTTTGTATATGTGGACCTTCTGTATCCAGGAGAGTGGGTTGACTTTCATCAGGGAGTAAGGAATGCTGATCACGTGCATCCGATTCATGACACTCTGCCATGAAAACAGACAAGCGTCGCATAATAATCAAAATATGTCAGAAGTTAACTTTATCACATGATTAATGTAATTCGTTCATAAGATAAATGTAATAAGATTCCACTGCATGTTTGAAACCAGGCTGAATTGGGTATGCATGAACATTTTTAAAGGTTTTAAACTCTTTTGTTATGGGACAAAACTTTCCTCATCAGGAAGTTATTAGTTGTAATGTTTATAGGAAAAATGGCAGTGAGATAAATCCAATTTTGATATCAGCAATCTGAGCACGGATGTATATTTTCGATTATTTAACCCTTAAAACCACTCACAGTAAGAACACCATGCCATAATCCTCCTTCTCTCTTGAAGTCCAGGACGTTGGTTATGGTCTCGGCTGCAAATCACAAAGGAGATTTTGCCAATATTAGCGTTTGAGACATTTAATCTAACATTCATTTTCTTCCCTAGTGCAATCACACATGATTCCATTACTTTTACACAAACAAACAAGCTTAATAAAAGATGAATAAATCCTGATTTTAGCACTTTTGGATTTGTTGAAGCACCAAACTAAGTTACAGAAAACTGGTGCAGTTATTTAAGGAAAAACTGGGACACCAGAGGAGAGGAAGTGCCTTACATTCTCAGAGCAGCTGCATTTATTAAACTAGACTGTAGTTACCCTCTGATTGGATCTGTAATACTATAACATCATAGATTATCCTATGAATGTTCTCTGTGTTATCTAACCTGGGTTATAAATAACAACATAGCACTTCCTTGAATGAATACTTTTTTGGTGCCACAGATTTTTCATTGCTAAATCTGGATATGGTGTCTGTTCTTCTGTTCTGTGTCTTGCCGAGCTGAAGTAATGCTCTTCTCCATGTCAGGAGAATGAATAAATGATGGAGAAAAACGCAGGGTGAAAGGAAGTATGGGTACTTGAGAGGTAATTGGATGTGTCCTCCTCACCTTCAGTGTAGCCGCAGGCCTGTGTGAGGGCGTGACAGTGAGCCAGCATAGCTGCATTTGACACTGTGATCCCCATGGTGCTTCCCTCCTTGCTGGTTTTATACTGGATGTTAGAAACAGGGAACAGCCAACAGCTAAAATCAGTGATTTGTACCTAAAACTATCTTAACCCTTAGATGCACGAGTGACTGGACCCTACACTCTTCCATAAGTGGGTCAAAAACGACCCGTATTAGAATAATGTGTTTTTATGGCATTTTTGTCATTTTGGTTAAGAAAAATAACTTGTATAATATTTAGTATTATATTTAGGTTCACACTAGAAATATTTTATATTTAATTGTTCACTACTTAGAATTTTACAATTTTTACATTTCTAAAAAAATTCCATAGAAAATGCATGCGGGTCATTTTTGACCCACTTATGGAAGCTTGGGGTAGTGATACAAAAACTACAATTTCTTAGAATGTATAAAATGTAAAGTAAACATTTGAATGGCATGATATCCAAAACATGTTTTTTGAGGAATAGCTGGAATATGAAATGATAAAAAAAAAATGTAATTACAAAGATACTCTAAGAAAACCACCTCACCGGGTCAAAAAAGACCCACTTATGCATCTAAGGGTTAAAAAACATAGAATATGCATACAACGTCATACATCTTAACTAGCTTTATTGGTCAAATCAGTAAACTACACTTACCTCTATGTAGGCTATGTCATTACTGGCTTCCCGTATTGGAGGATGCCAGTCTTTCGGAGGCTTCACAACATGTTTTCCATCCGTCACAAACCAGAGCAACCGAGGCCATCCTGCAGAGCGGGAGACATAAAGTCAGTTCAAACTGAAGGTAAATATACAGAGTGTCAAAAATAAAAAGATGAATCAGATTTTACCTTTGAAAGTGGCAACCTCCCCTGTCTGTGCTTTTGGCAAGCCTTTCTGACAAGCATCAGTGGTCAGAGCCAACGTGACGCCACAGCTGCCTAACAGAAAGCCGATCTGTTGACTTCCTGCATCCTATAATTCAAATAAGGATGAAAAGCTGAAGTTCACACTGGCTGAAACTTTGGTAAACAGTGTCAGTTACACAACAATCAACTATTGAGAAACAATTCAGAACATGTCAACTTTGAGAAGGAGGAGCTCATGTGGGAATTGTAACAAGGAGCTTAAGAAGGACAACGAACGAAGAAACTTCAGAGCGTGGTACATCAAAGAAGCAGCAGGTCAGAAAGCAGAGTGACGGCCAATCACTATTAAAAAGTGTACTGCGGAGCATCAAAGCCCAATCGTTGCGGGAAAGAAGCCGGCGATCAGACACACACTCAATCATATTTGATCGGCTGTGCAAATTAGCTGACAGCTAAACTTGGCAGAGCAAAGCATACTGTGCAGAAAAGCAAGAACAAATGTAAGATGGAGAGAGTGGGAGCAGGGAAAACACACAGAAAAAGAAAGAAGGATTAAAAGAGTGAGGTTGGAAAAATGTGAGTTGGCAGAGTGAGCTAGGGAGGGGTGAGAACAATTGGCCTGTGATCTAATGTTTTGACTGGCATTACACATAATTTCACCTCACTCAAATCTCATTAATTACAGCACAGCGTCTTCCAACAGCGTACTCATGAAGGCCAAATAAGAACAGGCATTAGTATTCAGCCTGTGTAACGAGTGGCAGGATTTGGTTCATTTTCAGTTGATGGACGGGTTTGAAACTGCAATGCATCACCAGAACATAATTAGAACAATTAAAGGTAATGCCGCTGGGGTTGTGATTATGCAACTCATTACTAAAAAGGCATTTGGTTTTTGGGGAGAGACAGATATTCTGGGATATTAGAATAAATCAGCAACAACTGTGCATATCCTTTGAATGACTCATTTAGAGGGCTAAATGACCAGCAGGGGTCACTAATGCTCTTCCCTGGTTATGTAGAGCAGCACATGTTTTTTAAAGTTGACACATTCCCAGGACATTTTATTTGCTTTTACCTTTCTGGTCAGCGGCACTTCGATAGGCACAGGTACCAACTCTGCTAGGATACATCCGTAGAAGGCCACCATGAACATCACAGGGTCGTTGTTGGGGAAAACCAGTGCAACCTACAGACGCATCACAGACAGGAGATGTTATGGTACCATGTTATGCAGTTTGTGTTTAATTTAAAGTACAGTTGCAAGAAAAAGTATGTGAACCCTTTGGAACTACCTGGATTTCTGCATAAATTGGTCATAAAATGTGCTCTGATCTTCATCTAAGTCACAACAATAGACAAACACAGTCTGCTTAAGCTAAAACCACACAAACAATTATATGTTTTTATTGAACACACCATGTAAACATTCACAGTGCAGGGTGGAAAAAGTATGTGAACCCTTGGATTTAATAACTGGTTGACCCTCCTGGCAGCAATAACCTCAACCAAACGTTTCCTATAGTTGCATATCAGACCTGCACAACGGTCAGGAGGAATTTTGGACCATTCCTCTTTACAAAACTGTTTCAGTTCAGCAATATTCTTGGGATGTCTGGTGTGAATCGCTCTCTTGAGGTCATGCCACAGCATCTCAATTGGGTTGAGGTCAGGACTCTGACTGGGCCACTCCAGAAGGCGTATTTTCTTCTGTTGAAGCCATTCTGTTGTTGATTTACTTCTGTGCTTTGGGTCGTTGTCCTGTTGCATCACCCATCTTCTGTTGAGCTTCAATTGGTGGACAGATGGCCTTAAGTTCTCCAGCAAAATGTCTTGATAAACTTGAGAATTCATTTTTCCGTCGATGATGGCAATCTGTCCAGGCCCTGAGGCAGCAAAGCAGCCCCAAACCATGATGCTCCCTCCACCATACTTCACAGTTGGGATGAGGTTTTGATGTTGGTGTGCTGTGCCTTTTTTTCTCCACACATAGCGTTGTGTGTTCCTTCCAAACAACTCAACTTTGGTTTCATCTGTCCACAGAATATTTTGCCAGTAGTGCTGTGGAACATCCAGGTGCTCTTTTGCAAACTTCAAACGTGCAGATCAGAACACATTATATGACCAACTTATGCAGAAATCCAGGTAATTCCAAAGGGTTCACATACTTTTTCTTGCAACTGTATGTAAGGAAAGGGGCATAGTGTGTAGTGTAAATTATTAACAAGATGTGAAATCAACAGTTGATTCCCCTCACAAGAATCAAGTTGTAGTATTGTTTAATGTAAAGACATAAAAACGAATTAGAACTCATTCGATGGAAATTGAGCAGTGACACGCAGTCCTCTGCAAGGGAGCAATCAAAAACATAAAGATTCCAAGTAGGCTGACTAGATCATAATATGTTCGTGGCTTAATGACTAGCCATCAACATTTACTAATTTGTATTATTAATAATAATACTCAAAGGAAATACAGTTGCTGAAAATCATTTTACGAGCCTCAGCCAAATGCTTTAAATTGCAATGAAATATACAGTATAACATTCCACCTTCCAGCATTGAGCAACATTTTACATCATGACTCACTCTGTCTCCTGGCATGAGCAAAGGCTCATTTCTGGTGCTCAGCTTGTTGAGAAGCGTGTAGGCCAGCTTCTGACTTCTGGTCCATAGTTTACCTACACAGGTGAATACAGTGTCAAATATTTAAGTTCATTTAACAACCCCGGGACCCACACAAAAACATACACAATAGCTGAGAATGATTACAAAATAATGTATGTAGATACAGACGCATCCTTGTCCATTATTTGTGTGAATAAAAACTCACACAGACAGATGTCAACATGGGATAATATAGTAGATTCTGAGCCCATCACTCACAGGTTATACCTACCATAGGTGAGCGTGTAGACGGGCTTGCCAGCATTGTCGAGTGCTGTAAGACAGGGGCTCTTGGGATGAGTGGTGCCCCATCGCTGTAAGGCTGCTGGTAAGGAGGGAGGCCAGTTGTTTACCACCTCCAGAGGCTCTCCTTCCAGGGGACTCATGAGCTGGCCTTCTGGTCTCGGCTGGTTGGGATCTGATTGCTGGACTGCAATGGAAGCAAGAGAAAAAGGGGCATCGGTGTGAGGGTGGTTCAATGTATTTGTTACATTACATTACAAATAAAAAGTAAAAGTGTTCTTCCTAAATTCAAGATAAATTGAATTGAGTAACTGAGAAAAAAAGTTTATTTCGTAGGTGATGTATTCCTTGAAGGGTAATAAAACGAGTATCGGGATTGAATGACAGCGACATGGAACGATGGGAGAAGAAAGCTGGAGGATTAAAATTGAGCTGAGATCTGTTCTTATCTGTCTTAGCTGCCTTAGATTCCAAATCCTGAAAAACGTAGAGAAACCTTTGCCTTTCAATAAGCCGTAACTCCCTTCATCCTTTACCTTCCCTCTCTTCATGCGACCAGCAACCTACTCACTTTTGATCTCTCCATCACTATCCTCGCTCTTAACGCTCTGGTAAGTGGAATTCAGAACTGCTTAACTGAGCTGGCAAACACCTCAATCAGGTACAGATAGTGTTAGGCCTGCCAACATTTCTGCTCTCTTTTTTTCTGCTCGCATCAAGCAGACCACCGAGTCTTGCCATGCCACAGTCCCTGTGCCAACATCAGGAAGGCTATACAATCACCTGCTGTTGCATTACTATTCCTGTCGCTTATTCATTTTTACAGTGTTTACTCAGCCTGGCAGAGTACCACCCAAAACCCATTTGGGCTTGCTGGAATGGAGGAAATGGTGAGAGAGGGCACATCCGGGTTGTGTGTGTGTGTGTGTGTGTGTGTGTGTGTGTGTGTGTGTGTGTGTGTGTGTGTGTGTGTGTGTGTGTGTGTTACCTAACCACTCCCTTAGCACACCTGGTGGTCTCAGCTTCACCCTTGACAAAATAACAACCACAGACCTAAAAGTGTATCTTAACTGTTTATTTAACAGGCGTGATTTGGACAATATCATATTTCTATCTTGGCTGCAACAAGAAATAAATTACATTATTAAAGCAGGAAAACACCACTGACAGCTACAAATAAATTAGACAACATCTTTAAGCCCGTGTGGCTGTCTAACTCAAGAGTGTTTTGATCAAATGCAGCTTTTAACTGCTGAAGTCCAGATCAGTATGCCGATCACACCACAGAAAGATGGGTGCTATATTTCATGATTTATTGATTTAATAGAAGTAATGTAATTGCTTTCAGGCCGGCTTACCATCCAAAAGCTCCTCAAAGTCGTCGACAAAGAACTCTCGCAGCGGCGGTCGTTTTGGTCTCTTCAGAGTGTTGAGCAGCTGCTGGATTTTGGAGGAGACGCGACTGTTGACTGGAACACCTACACAATTAGATTGGAGAGGAATAAAAGAAAAGTGTAGGGGGGAATAAACATAGCGAGAAAAGGATATGGAGAGAAATGCAGACATGAAGAGGAGTGGAAATAGATAGAAAAGATATATTGATTGATGGATGGATAAAGTGTGGGAAAGGAAATGGATGAGGGAAGACAGAAAAAGAAAAGAGAAAAGTTCAGTGATGTGCTCTGATGTGACATACAGGACCACCAGCTGTCACTCACATCGTACCAAGACAACAAAACAGTGGACCTCGAGGTTCTCTACAGTCACCTGGAGGTCAAAGGTTACAGTCTTTCAGTCTCGATACTTTCTAGAATCACAGACAAAACTCACAGGCGATAAATCACAAAGTAAGGCGCCTCCTAGCCTGCTGCCTAGCAACGAAGATGTCCTCCTTGCAGTAAGTGACTCATGAGGTGTCTCTAAAGGTGTGTGTTTCAAATCGCTCTATAAAATTCTTAATGTGGGAGGCTAAATCCAACTTTAGTAGAATTGAAAGAAATTATTCAATCCAAGTATGTGGTTAATTACTTATTAAATAGAATAACTTTCCTTGTGAAGGTGAAAAGTGCTGTTTTCAGGCTTTTTAATTATCAACATTTCTCAGTTTTATATTATACATATAGAAATTGTATTTATTGCGATACTGATGTTAAAGTGAATATATCTATGGGGATATAGACTGACCAACAAGCGATGTAAAGACAACACCTTGGAACGGACCAGATCAAACGATTAATCAAAAATAATAATCAGCAGATTAACCGAAAATTAAAGTAATTTTTGGATGCAGCCCTTAACTTTACCCCAGTTTTATCAAAATATGCAAGTTATTTGATGAGTAGGTTCAAACTGCTGAACCACAACATAAATGCAACACTGAGTCAAAAGCAATAATCGCAGAGACATGGAGCTTTATAAAGACATAAAAACCTAATAAATAAGCAGGACAGCAGCGAAACAACACACGAGGCAGTGTTCTGTTAGATTTCCTTCACATTTTTAGACATGGACGTGCAACCTATAGTCATCACTGAACATAATTTCCTCCATCTGAATTCATACTTAGTTTGGGAGAGGTGGTCTGTCAGACATTCCAGACAGCCACAGGAGACGAAGGCTACAGCTGCATGCAGCGTGCCTGATCTATCTTACAATAATAAGCCTGGCTCAGACACACTCTGCCTCCTCATGCAGGGACAGATGTACTGGGAATAGACATGTGGGGGGTCAGGTCTGCACCTGATGGGCCAATTAGAAAGCCCCAGACACACAGGACAACATCTGAGGGCCCTGAACCCCACCCACTCAGGTGCCATGATCGTTAATATAACAGCCAACCAGGAACCTCTTATGATGATGACTACATTTAAAATATCATCATTTATCCATCCACAACATTAAATTACTAAAGCAAGCACTGGCCTTTGGAAAAAATGACACACCACTTCTTTGCATAAAAAAGCAAGAATGGCCTTATTCTACCTTTTCTTTTGTTTACAAATCCCATGGAAAGACCCAAACCAACAATGGTTGGTCCATGTTTAAATATTTTACAACCTCCTCACCCTGAATTTGGCTGTAAGCCACAAGCTCATTTGTTCCTACTGATGTTGCAATTATGTAAAAACAGTTGACAATTTATTCTTTCATTGTCACTAAGTCATTAACTAACACAGCAGGGCATTTGTTGGGGACTGTTTTCAGCCATGGATTAATAAACATTTGGTGCTACTGAGAATTAACAGCAAAAGCAAGTATTTATATCATAATGAAGGAACTTGTCACCCAGCGCTTGTTCTGTGTTTTTCCTAGTTTTTGCCCAACATTGAAGGCAAAGCTGAATATCATACTTTTCATACAAAGACAATACTTGAGACTTGGATAAGTGGTTTGTTTTGGACAAACATGCTCCAGCAAGAAAACCACACTTATAGTGCCACTTTCTAAATCCAGATGGACCCAAAGTTACTGTGTGGTATGTTTTCCACACCCAACTATTTGTTAAAATGGCAACAGTGCTAGACGGCTGCCATCAAAGAACCCACCCTGTGGCTACAGGCTAATAGGCTTGTGTCACAGTAGTGAGAATCAGAAACTGACTGAAGTGTAAGTGTGAGCGCAGAAACCAGTGTGTCAACATGCTAATTATTCACAACTCTGAATAGTTACATTTGGCATGGATAAGGCCTCTTCACAGTCTGCTTTATCATTACCAATTTTAAGAGCATAGACTTGTAGATGCTATCAATGCTAAAGCATCACACACTTTATTACACAAACAATCATAAGACTGTAGCTCTACATATATTTTGGGAAACACACGTTTAGACAAGTGTTAGACCTCACAATGGAAGCGAAGGCAGGAACACACACAGACATACATGCGCACACACAGCAGAGTGCACATATAGAAGACTGCCATAGAGTTAGAAGAACTGTTATAAATACCATCCATTAAAGTGAGGGATCCTTCACTTCGCCACTCACAGCCTGGAGGAGAGACACATCAGGATGTCAACGAAACAGTCCTGCTAACTTTGTGTGTGAGTGTGCGATAGAGAAATCAACCAACTGCCAGACGTAAGTGAGAGCAGGCTTATAAGACTCTAAGACAAATATTGTTGTTGTTGTTGTTGTTGCACCAGAACAACAAATACGATTTATTTATTCATATGATGTGTGAAAACTTGCATAAGCAACGTGGGTTTGAAACATCTTGAAAAACGCACAGCCAAACAGAAGGGATACCAATGACACTGTTTACATCTTTAAACACTCTCTTCCCCTTTATGTCAGCAGGGTGGGATGGTTCAGCATTTATTTGCACTGAAAACGCAGCCAACGCACACATTCTTAATGAAAGAAGATGGATGGCAGGAAGTTAATGTTCCAGTTTTCAGACTGCTGGCTTATTTTATACATTGGCTATTCATTCAAAGCAGCCTTTCAGCTCTGATGTTGAAAGAATGGAGATGGAGAGAGCAGGAACACATTGGAGCTGCTTTTAATGACTTCTCGAAAGGGATTGTCCTCCATGGTAACTCTCTGAGGACAATTAACGCTATGCAAATCACTGTTCAAACATACTATATAACTGATGAATGAGAAAAGTAGAAATAATACTGAGAGAAAATAACTAGTTATGACACATCCTCATAGTGATTTCACTGGTTACACGTCTGTACAGCTTCTGAAACAGCTGGCAATATATTTTGTGGATACAAGAGTGTGTTTTGAGAATATTGAATAAAAAATGTTATGATAAGCTGTTCATTTTATGCACTGATAGACAAATAACATGAAAAAAATTGAATCACCACTGATCATTTGGTTTACAACTCTGACTCTTAGACCTGACGCTTTTAGGACTCAAGTGAAACAATTGTGTTTTGGTAGTGTCTATTTCTATTAGGCATTGGGTAGAAGACATATTTTCTTTTTGGAAGGGGTTGGAGAGGTGCAGTGTTACCATGGCAACACAAGAGGGTCAGTCAGCAGCTTGTGCCAGTCTGAGAGGCAGACTGACTAAGAGGAAGACAGAGGGGAAGACAGCAGGGGAGAAAGGGACATGAGTGCGTTTCTGTGTGTGTTGCTGTGTGTTTCTCTGTGTGTTTGTGTGAGTGTGAGTCAGAAACTCACCATCTGCGGTCTCCATGACGCTGGTGTGGTGGTTGTTGCCCCGGGAAATGCCCCGCACCGAGGCCACCTGGGGCCGCTCTGCATGAAGCGAGGAGCGCTCCAACAGCCCCGTCACATCGGGGGGCGCTGAGTGGTTATCTGTGATGAGTGGGGCGTCGGGGGTTAAAAGGGCAAACTCCAGGCCTACTTAGGCTAGCTCTAATATATAGAAATCTGCATTAGGAGCAAATAAACTGATCCAAAAACTTGGGGATTTGATAAGGAGGCTTAATGTCTTCTCAAAGTACGGTAGTCTTTACCTGCAGAAGACCTTTAACAAGAATTTCACTTATGCCATGCTAATGAAAAAATGGCTTCTAATCAGCAGATGAATTACCCTCAGTAAGGAATGTATCCATGGCAACAAGATGCCTGTTTAGTTTGATTAATAGGCTAAGGCTTTCATTTGTTGCCGTTAGTGGTAAACTATAAAAAGTTTGCCTCACAATGGTTTCCATTAATTACATAATTTACCTTGTAACTTATTTAAACCAAGTGAGGGTAACTCTTATAGAAATCACTTGAAAATTCTACATTGGCAAAAGAAAAGGGGGTTTATAAAGTAAACGTGTTCTGAAGGGCTATGGTAGCAGTGTTGTTGGACCCAGACAAAAAAAGAAAATGGTTATGTACGGGCTGAGGTTCCCTTTGAAGAATGTAATGCCTTTTATGTGTACTATATTGACTGTATACATTAGCACAACACAAATGAAGGATTTCAAAGCGTGTGATGATGGCCTACTAGTCATTGTTTATAGCTGAAGTGAATGACAGACAGAGTTTGAGGGGTCAGGGGACAGGATAATAGAGGAGATTTATTTACAGCCACATTCAGCACCAGTCACTGCTTCTACTTTATGACAGCAACCTTGAGGGGGGGACAGGCTGGACAGAAATCTGACAGCTCCATCCTAATAGTATCGTCTGCCAGCACACACACGTCAACACACACGAGCAAGACACCATTTCACTTTGCTGCTGTTTGAGAGACGTATGGAGATGAATCCGGTGAGTCTCATTAGTCAGATACTTGTATGGAAGTGGCTGTGTGCCCTTTCACATGACTGGATGACAGTGAGATGGCAGAGGGAGACGACTAATTAGAGAGATGTTAAATAAAACTCTGCCGCATGTTTTCTTTGTCTTGCCTCAAGTGCTTTTATGCTTCTATATGGAGATAAGGCATTGGAAGTAGCAGATGTGTAAGACAGCGCTGTCTGCCTGCGATGGAGCTACAGTTATAGAAATAGCTGTCTGAGCAACACAATACAAGTTAAGATGTCACCTTTGACAAGACATCAATTCTGATTGGCTTGCTCAACTAATGCTTGTATCAGCAAAAAAGACAGACAATGGAAAAAGTGAAAAAAAAAAACGCTTGCCGACAGATTCATTCATTTATTTAGACGGAGGGATTCAAAACCATACGAGTAAGCAGGGGATTCTGCAGGCTTGCTGAAGGACTATATAGGACTTTTATTCTACCCTGAACAGGCAATTAAAACTGAATCAATACGTATCCTTCTACAATTAAAATTGAGAATGATATAAGAATAAAACAATATTTGAAAAAACCCTCAAATGTTGTTTTGTTGCTTGGCCTGAGACCACTTTTTATTCCATTTCTACAACACCTTCCGCTTACTACAACAACCTGGGATGAGGGCTGCGTCAATTTAAGGGGATAAGAACAAATAGATCGAGCAGCCATACGGTGATGTTGTATGAGACTGTGTGTGTGTCACTGACCTAGCTGGGTGTGTGCCATGAGGTCGGCCAGTGCGGTAGCTGCGGCGTTGGCGTTGAGGGCTGCGTGGGCAGTGGTGTTGGTGGTGTTGACGGATCTCCCTCCCGGATGTGATGAGGTGGATGACGCGGAGGATGAGGTGGACGAACCCTGGATGACACGGTTAAACCAGTGCTCCACGGCTGGGTGGCCGTGGCCCTGGTAGGGCGTGGAGGTAGCCAGACGTCCCTGCCGGCGCAGCGAACCCTCGTCTTCTGACGCCGAGGAGGTGTCTGTGTTTGACAGGTACAGACAGGGCAGCGTCACAACAGTGGACAGAGATATGGAGCCGCAGGATTTAGATGATATGCTGATGATACATTATTCTACTTATACATACTGGAGAGAGTACATATAAGCTAGTAGGATGGCCAGATGTTTGAAATGGAAATGGACGTTGTAAAGCTCGGAGATGATATATTGTTTAATGGGTCATGTCTTCACTGGTATTGTATGTATTGGATATTTCTTTGCCTCTAAAAGTAGCCTCAAAAACACGCAATGTATACAGTATGTGTATTATAAACAGGGCCGTCCCTGGCCAACATGAGGCCCCACGCAAAGTTATATGATGAGGCCCTCTGTTGCTAGCGGAGCCTCGCAGCGGCGAAACCGTGCCTCGCCACACTAATTGCGCCGCATAAGCGCATAGGTGCGCCGCATTTTCGGCCTGCAGGGAGGGACGGCCCTGATTATAAATGATAAATTGTGATAGCCTTCAAAAACAGACCAGAATGTTTTGTATTTCTAGACAGGAGAATGTCAATAACAAGAGGTGAGTTTGTGCACACTGACAGTAGGCTTATGTAACTTAATCATAGGTATTCGACTAACAAAGGCCTCTTTATAAGATACACATTCATATTAATTAGGAATGTTAAAAACAGCCCTCTAAAATATGGATGTTTAATACAAAACATTTTACTTGCATATTATCAAACAGGTACAGGTATTCCTGCTTGAAGGTGTTTTTGCAGACCAAACATCAACTGAAATAGCATGACCAACAAAATGATATTGTATTTTGCTAATGTACATGTTTAAGTTATTATGGCTTGCACTCAAACTCAGTCACTGATGATTTTACTGTCTGTCCCTTGAGGCAGCTGAGCAGTTGGTTTAGGCAAAGATAGCCTGAAACAGGAACGACTTCAAAGCAAGGTAAGGATCATTCAAAATGACCACAATCCACGTCATCTGCAAAGCTCCCAGAAATCTTGTATTTTCTACCGCGTTACTGAAGTTACACATGAGCAGTTTGAGATTACTATTCTTTGAACTGAGTTCAATGAAAGGGCTGAACAGGCTTAGACATCGACCATGTGATAAAATAAATATATGTTTTCACCAAGAAAGTTCTAATTTGACCCCATTACTCATCAGCCATGACCCATATAATGTATAAAACTCATTAATGTCCACATATTATACAAATCCTAGCACATGTGCATACACTTTACAGAACAACGCCTACAGTAACTAATGTGGAAAACATATCCCACAGTCCACAGGATGAGAAATAGATTTTCTGAAAAAGAGAGATCAAGCTATGTGTTATGATCACGTCTCTTGATGTTCTCCAAACTAATGAGACTTTTTCATCTTGATCTGTCTTCTCATCACTCACAGTATGTGGAGGACAAGTAAATTCAATGAATGAGAAACTATTAGAGTATTTTTCAGGCTTACTCGTGCCCTTGCAGAGGCTTTCAGAGCAAGGCTGGAGCAGGTTTGATTATAACAAGCTGGAATGTAATGTATCTAGGACCAGCGGACCCACGGGGGTTATCTCACATTTATGATTCTGTTTGTTATTCCTCTGCCTCTCTCCAATCAGTCTCAGAATCTCAGTAACCTTGACACAGTTACACAGAGGGAGAGGGAAAGAGAGGGTCAGAGAAGAAAAGCAAAGCAGAAATAGAGAGGTGGAAAGAATTGAAAGGAAACTGAAAAAGTGAAGAGGTATTAGTCACAGAAAACTACAACAAAAACAAGAATAGATAGTAAAGAGTGAGTCAGAGATAAGGTCGGGCATTGAAGGAGGATTAGGAGGTAAGGAAGAATATAAGAAAAAGAGAAAACCTAAGCAGAGATATATTTCAATTACGCTTGCTCACTATTTTCTTTGGGCAATAAAGTCAGGTCCAATAAAGATATAATACTAAATCGAATGAAGCTTCAACCCAGCAGTCAAATTCTTGAGGTTGCTTTCCCTGACTCATCTATAAAAGAATCAATCTAATCCTATTGGCTGAAGGAACTTCATAATGATTGGTCCCAAAAGGTCACTATACCAACGCACAAATTACATCCTACACACTTGTGCCAGTCCAGGTTCAATCGATGCTTCATCTATGTAGTGTGCATTGTAAATGTAAAAATCAAAGTGGAGCTACAGGAGAAGTCAGGAGATCACAGAAAGATGCATTTCCAATTAAAGATCGGCATGACTTGATGCCAATGTAACCATATGTATTGGTTGTTTATTAAAGATTAAACAAAGACAGTAGACTTCATTATCCCCTGGAGACCATGAATGTCTATTTCAAATATCAGCGCAAATTCAAAAGTTGTTGTGATATTTTAATCCAAAATAAGGTAGTGGATTGGCCAACCCACTGACAAACCAACTTAGTATTCCTTAGAGAAAAAATGCTGCTGGCATTGCTAAAATACTGTTATACTAATTTCTAAGTAACGCAACCTTTCCAGTGTGCTAACCTGTTGCTGCCATTATCCATAAAACCCAGAAGAGCACCATATGTTTTTTTATGTACAGTATGTAAGTAACGGTGGTCTGTTAGCCAAACCTATATACCTTCTCCTTTAGGTGACTCAGTGTGAGTGAAAACAACCACTCAGAGACCCCCTCCTTCTCCTGTTTAAACCCCAATGTCTGAGCTCTTAATCTGTTTACTCGCTCCACCGCTGTGTCCCCTCTCTTTACCCAAGACATGAGGCTCGAAGGCCCCCCACCAATTAACTCTTATACACCAATGATAAAGCCACCGCAGAGAGACTGGCAAGTTTTCTGTCATCACATCTTGCACAGAGAGCTTACTGACTGATTGAAGATAAAATACTTTCTTTTCCAAAAAGAGAGAGGCCTTGAACATTGCAACAAGAAAAGCAAAGAACGCAGTCAAATGACCTTAAAATGAACTGACCCACAACACAAATTGCTATAAAAGCATTTGAGACTATGTTAAAAATCTGATTATGCATCCATTATGCAACTCATGTGGGAAGCTCTGCCTGGAAACACAGCAGTGAGAACTGAGCCCTTTATAGTCACAAAGAATAGACACATTCATCAAAATGCATATTTATTTCCAATGGCAATGCCTCGCGACATCATCTTCCACCACTGGGAACAACAGTGTCAGCAGTTTAGCCTTCAATGCTCAGGTCAGAACATGTAAACAACCCAGTGTGAGCATTAGCCTAGGCTGTGTGTGAACAGGAAACACCTTGCCTTTGGGGAACAACAGAGGGTTTACAGGAACCGAGGTCTCACCTGGCGGGGTGCATGCCTCAACAGAAGACTGAACTAACACAGATCGTCTCTTGGAGGGCATTGGCATCTTCCTCTCCTTGTACTTTGCCAAAGCTGCTTGGACGGCTTCTGTGTGCAAATCTAAAAGAACACATACATTCAGTTAAACCACGGCATAAAAGAGGAGCGCCAGGCATTCAAAATGGTCTGTCAGAATGGAAACATGTTTACCGGATCTGAAGCGTTCATCCCGGGTGTTGGCCGCCCGGGACTTGTGGTGTTTGGAACCTGACAGAACAGCTTGGGAAGAGGCCTGGATCCTGTTGTCAATTTGCAGAGAAGGATCTACACCTGTGGAGGGAGAGGATAGTTTATTACAGGACAACATCTAAAGTTATACCTTCTTCTATTGCTGACCAGCTGAAAAACCACTATCATTAATTCAAGGTAGACACTCTGAATGTGCCTTGGACGTAGAGCACCATTCTGAGTATTGCTTGACTAGATCAAGTATCCACAAGCTTAATGGTAATCCCTTCTTGGGCTGCTTTCTTCAAATACAGTAGCTTGGAGTTGAGAAAGTCTTCACTTAAATTAATCCAGCCTCTCTAACAGCTTTCCAACTGCCTTAAAGCTGTCCAAGGAAAGCATAAGCAATTTACACATGCGTAACAGAAAGGAGGTGATTAAGCACCATGAATGTCAAACAGAAAACATCTTCTAACTAGAGCGTTCTAAAATTATCAAACCCTCAAAGATGCCAAACCGCTCTGCTCAGCGTGACACAGGCTGTGATTCATCTTCTGCTTACGCAACTCTCCTTTGAGTCTTATTAGGTAACTAGTGGTTAACATCAGAGGGGAAGCCGTCTGGAGGAAGGTCGTGCCAAGGGCTTTATTTGTAGTCTTCTTCTATTGGTTCACTTCTTCTTCTTCCTCTCACGTATTTGAAGAAAGAAGGAAGTATCCATATTTCGAATAAATCAAAGTATGACAGAACGTGATGAATCTTATTTTACAGAACATCACAAGTTTGATCCAGATTAACTTTATACCCAATTAATTCAGCGACTATTAAAGGTCACCTATTATGCAAAAAAGTTTTTCGTGTATTTTATACCTCTGTATTAAGAGACTCTGAAAGTTTCAGGAATAAAGACCCCCTCCCTTTTTCTCCTGATCCATTTATATAAAAAAGTAAAAGTAAGAGAATCAGCACTTTTGAAACAGGACTGAAACAGAGGGGATTATGGGATGCTACAACGACCTGTTTGGTGTTTGGAGCCAAACACTTCAGAGACATGTTTTGTATATATCTGAAACCTATAATATATTGATGAAAAAGAGTATATCATAATAGGGGACCTTTAAGGTATGTTATGTTGTGCATAATAAAATGTCGACATGCACACCTACAGTAAATAGGGAATATGACAATTCTGACTAAAGAAATGCAGCTCCCACAAGGTGTTTGTATTTCCATATAGAGTAATGAAAGGCCTTTGCAGTTCTTCTAGGCAGAGATGAGGGACAACTTTACACACAATGGAACAGGAAGCATTCAAAGGAACAGCATCTGTACTATAACTCTGCAATACATCCGACAGCTTTATATAGTATACTTTCCCGACAGTGGGACAATGAAGAGAATAAACTTTGAAAGGATGCTTCTGTAGTACTGTAGCTCGACAAACAATACCGACTAGTGCCGGGGGATTGTGCAGTTTACGATTGAAGTTTCATGTATTTTTAAGTAAACACTGCATGTTTCTTGCAGATATATGTCAAAGCAGCAGAACATCATATAAAGAAATACATTACATTTTGTGTGAGTAGAGTACTAAAACCCCTGTGGAAGGGACAAGCACTAACCCAATACATCATAAACTCAAGTTCATGCTAAAGAGTTTGTTTTTTTAATCCAGTTATTCCAATGAAACCCGCTAACTGGATTCTAAAATATGGACATTAACCACTGCAAATCTTCAGGCAAACACAGCAAACTGAGCACAACCAAGCCAGTGGTAACATTACTACAAATTGAAAAAATTATAAAAAGGTTGATTTATTGTTAAAAGACGTTCTAAATGTTATCCGACTGAAATGAATACAGACCTTGTTAAACTAACAGTAAGTTGATTATGTTCAAATGAAAACAATCGACATCCTTTGTGGAGGCTGGCTGGAGTTAAACTCAAGTGCCATTGGGGAATAACATAAATCTATACGTTTTGGGCAAAATGATCAGCTTTGAAGTTGCTGTGATATTGCAAATGCTGTTAATCAAATGGCAGAGTGGCTGCCTTTGCATGTATACCAATTGGAAAACAGCCTTTTGAGGACAGCGTCATCACACATTTAGCGTGTTGGATCCACACCGATCTGGCTGCCCGGTCACACACCCGGCCAGCCTGCCACCCATCAGCTCGCCCGGCTTTTCAGCGGCAGCTTAGAGGGGATCAGTGAGCTCCACGCTGTCAGCAACTCTCAGACAGCGGCAGCACACACTGCAAAACATTTACACATGCATCAAGTAAACTATTCAATATCAAAAGTTTGAAATATGACACACACACACACACACACACACACACACACACACACACACACACACACACACACACACACACACACACACACACACACACACACACACACACACACACAATTCCCTAAGCATGGATGGATACATTCATATATGCTGGTCCCTGATATTGCTCTGACAACCCGGTCACACTCCAGCCTTTCAGAGGAAACAGGTCTATAAAAACAAGCCAAGACACCAGACCCGGTTGCTGGGAAGAACACTCGTTAGAGACATGCCGCTCTAAGCCAATCAGAGGCGTGCTCCGTCACAGCACATGTTGTTATTGGTCCAGAGCGAACCCTGATGAGTTTTTTGCACTCATCTGATGCCAACAATTACCGGTGTGACAGTGTGCCGTGCCTTACTTCCTAGATAGCAAATATGCCTGGCTAATGAGCTGTACACAGTTGTCAATTTACATCACAGACATAAATAAGTGATTGAAATTACACATGCTTCATATTAATGAATGGGTTGGTTTCAATGCCGACCTGGGACTCATCAAAGTCGTAAGATTTAACTTCGATGTCTTAAAACCATCACTCAAGTCATGTCAACACACCTGTATTCTCACTGCGGAGGTGCAGAAATTCCTCCAAACAGCTACATTTTAATGCTTATAAACTTACATTCATAGTACACAACTTTTCCTAAATGGTTGATTTTCCTGTATGTTTGACACCTAAAGCAATTCTGTACCTTCAAAGCTCACAGTGAAGCCTACACACTAAAATTATAGACAAAGAAAATTCATCAGCTCTCATAAATCTTCAACAATCTGGCTGTGCATCTATGCTTTATTGCACTTGGCACATGTAGTCCTGTGACAACAGTGAAATATAAGGCAGTAAATCAGCTTGTGGAATTTAGCATGGTGCTCAGTCCATTGGTGTTCTATTTCAACCCTTTAGCTGGTAAACCCTAACTCACTGATTCACCGTGCTGATGGATGTGTCATCAAGTCCCAAAACATTCATTCATCCTGCTGGAAGAATATCACTCCCTCCAAAAGCCCATCCATTTCTGCCCTATATCTATCAACTCTATGTGTTAGCATCCAGCCAGAGTGGATCTTAAAATAAACAACAAAAAGGAAACACGTGAATCCACTTTAACAAGGGAGCAATAGAAAGAAAGAAAATGAAGTACATAGTTCCACAAAGTTTAATAACAGACCTGCTAACTCCAGTGGAAAGCCTCGAGCGAGCGACCCACAACAGACTGTGGTTTCCACTGAGGCCTGGTGTTCTGATAGCGGGCCAAACCAAAGACTGCCATGGACCAAAGGACAAAGAAGCATGAAGCTCACAGTGACTCTCCTCTGGGATTCACAGCAAACCACCTCGACCTTAAAGTCTGACCGAGGCACCTTGGACTGACTGCTTGACTTGGGATAAAAATACACTGAATTGACATATACATGTATCCCCCCTCAGACTCAAAAGCCATGGACAGATAATAAGTAGTGACATACATCTGGGAAACTTTACGCCTCCTGTTTGCCAAATGTAATACCTCTCTTCTCAAACACCCATAGCCTAACAGAGGATGGCAGGCACAGATACACATGAGCTGACGATTAAATAAAGAAAATATTCCTCTAAATAATTAGAGCTAAGCTTTAGTGTTATGAAAGCAGCACACAAACACACTCAAAATGTAAATGAGACCAAATGTATCATTACAGCAGGGACGTAGAATATTTACATATCCATTACAGTAGGTCTTCCTAGCTTCGGATGATTAGCATCTATTTTCATTTGGCCCCGACCTACACTATGATATATGCTTGCTGCGGGGCGATGGCATTGATAACAGACCCGAGGAATCAAGGACACAACAGCAGACACACCTTATCTAACCAGCTGAATAAAGTATAGATGTGTCAAAAGCCTTCACAGTATCCTTTCTCAAAACGTTATGGCCATGTAATGTTCCATCTGGTACCTCTCATACGAAAAATACTTTATTTTCTAAAGTTAAAAGAAAATGCAACTTCTGAATCATTCTTCTTTACTATTTTGGGATTGTATTTATTTTACTAAATTATGCTGTGAGTAAATGAAACTGCTCCTATATTTGTATACTTGTTCTCATCGTGTATGCTCTTGCAAGGACACTATGCTAACTGCTGTGCTAAAAGGCAGCCAGAGCCAAGATAAAAACCTGTTCCGGTCAGTAAATGTCCTGCAGGCCGGTGTCTTACCTTGTATCTGTGGGATGTACGGCGCAAGCAGCTTGCCTCTTTTCTTCTCATAGCCCTTCTGAGTGATGTCCCCTGTACAGACAGAGACAGAGAAATACAAAGGAACAGACAGACAGGGAGAGAAGAGGAGGGGAAGAGAGATGAGTCATTAGCTCAGCCATGCCCTGGTGGTGTGTATGTGTGTGTGTGCACAAGTGCCAGGCTGGTTGCACTGGCACCACGGGGCACCAGAGAAGGGCTGTGGTAGCAGATGACCAGCCCTCACCCACTGGAAACTATCTTTCTCTCAAACTCAGGAAGTGACATTGCGATTGTTAGATTAGTTAGTGTTCAAATTTCCCCTTTAAATACTTGTATGATAACATCGACAAGGCAAGAGGCATTTAAAATATCATTTGTCTGGTGCGCCTGGAACATTTTCCCTCGCAGTGTTTTTACCAGAAGTAAAAAGGCTTCTGCTGATGTCAGCATGAACTGAATCGCACTCAGTTGTCTCCCCACACATAATTAAAAGGCAGTCTGTTAAATAAGAGCTAGCTGCATGTTATTTTAATAGCCCTATTGGAAAGGAACTTCAATGTACAAGCTTCTCCCAGCCTGGAATCTAACTAGAGTAAATTAAGTAAGGGAGAAATGAGGGCACATAGAGACAGAGAGCTAGGTGGAAGGTATTAAGTAAAATAAAGCACTGCAGATTGCAGCAAAAGGTTATATACTGTAGCTTAAAGTGCTAATTGTCTATAGGCTTGGCACGGTGTGGTGTAGAGCTAGCAAGGAGCTATTACTTAATGTGGGTTGTTAGGATTGTGATGAAAGATTGACCATGGTTATCCTAAAGTAACAAAGACATGGACAGGAAGAAACAGACACAAATCCAAACCCGAGCACTGCTTTAGTGCTTGTATTGTTGCTAATTTAAAATGATAAAATGCTATATCCTTACCCTAAGAAATGTAGACAAAAAAGAAACATAAATCTCAATTACTCAACCTTTAAAATTATCCCAATTATCACATATTATACAGATAAACCTGACACCCGATCAGTCCGTATGGACAGATGATGACTATAAAATGTATCCAAAATGGTGAAGTATGAAAAAAGTTGGATTTTTCCGTCTCTAATCGTGCGATAACCTCACAAACTCCACAGATTATGCAATTCCTTTTGTTGCTTTTATTCAACAACACAAATATGTTTTCAAAAATGTGTAACATCTGAACTCATCACCACTAAATGACAGTGTCAACAAACTGTCAAAATGTGTTGAAACAAATCCACGGGCCGCACTGACTGAGTGTTTTGGCTGATCTGGGGATGTGAGATGTCACTGTGTTTGTGCACATCAGACAAAGCCAAGCTGAGGCTTATGGGATGGAGGCTCACTCTTTGGCAGACAAAAGACATATTGATTCTCTCAGAGAGGGCTGACTGACAGCACCTCTAACACACAACTATGAGAATGTACATAAACTATGCTCTCATATGTGACCTTTCTCAAACAAGCTCCAACACCCCTAAAGATGGATGGAGAAAAAAGGAAGGGTCTTGAGGAAAATATGCCAGTCAAACCGAGGAGCTGGAAGGAGTGTCAAAGCCAAACAGCCCCTTGACTTGACATGTGCTTTGTTTTGGCAGGAAACCAGAAATGCTCAGAAAAGTCAACTCAAGATCTCACTGGTCAGATTTTCTACAGGATGTTAACACTGGACGCCAATGAATAGGGATCAGTGTGTGCTTTATATTAATCTCTATAGGCTCTCAGTGGGGGTCATAAGAGTGGAGGTTAAGTGATAGGTTCAATAGGGCTATGTGGATAGGGTTAGGGTTAGGGTTACACATTGATTTAAACCCTCACCCATTTACTTTACTTGCCCTCTATTGACATATTTAACCTATATTAATTCATAAAATGTACTTTTTTACAAGTCCCCTTTCATACACCACATGCTATTGTCCTAGAACTTTCATTGAGTTATCTCCCTCAATTAATAATTGTTACCAACATTTCTCAGACTAAATATTCTTCAGTTATCTTTGATCTCTCTTGAACACAACAGTGTGTTAGTGTGAGGGCAGGTTGTGTTGGCGCTGCCCGCTGGTCCTGAGTCACCAGGAACAGCTGAATGCCTGCACTGTTAAATGTCCAGTAGAGATGGAGGCTAGCAACAATACAGTGCTGTCCACAGGCCGCGCTGACCCGACACTGACTCTTTCTGGTGATAAGTGTCTCGGCCTGTATGTGTGTACATCAGTATGTCTGCGTGCATGCCAGCATGTCTGTGTGTGCGCACCACAGCAGCCAACCAGCATGACAACCACACAATAGAGGGCTATTCTCCGCGGCGGCACCAAATTCTGGTCAGCGGTCTCTGTGGCCGAGCGGCCCCCTTGCACACACTGATCCATCAAGTTATGTCTTGGTGAAGCTAATCTTTTCATCTGGGAACAAACAGCTTCGTCATTAAATATGGAGGAATGGACTCAAGCATTCAACAGTAAACAATGACCCTCGTTTTAAAAAACTAAAAGTCTGAGGCGCCGTAGCATCGGGATATTTACTGTGCGGGTGCATATGATTGAGTGTGTTTAACAATATGCCTGCACGTATATTTGTGTATGTTTTTACGTATTCACAGAAAGATGCTCCATTCCCCTTCTCCGATTGAGCTACCACGAGATAGAAATGGGAGGATCCGCCTGGGGAATAACAGAGGGGGGGAAGGCAGTGGGACGCAGAGAAGAGAGTGATGGAGCAACGGATGGAGGGAAGCTTAGCGTGACGTCAAATTGCACAATCGCAAGCTGTAGCTTACAGAATATTTACAGCTGAGTGGGAAACACTTCATTCGACCCCCTCCACCCTCCTGCGCTGACTAAAGGCTTTACCATGTAATTGAGCTGTAAAGAAAAAAGGGAAAGGGTGACTCCAAGCAAGCACCTGGGGGGGGGAGAGGGCGGTGGGATCCAGTAAATAAAACGACATGGAATGTGTCAAAAGAGGGAGATGAACCAAAGCACACGAGGGAGGGGGGAGGAGGATTTTCTCATGTCATGATGGTGAGAGAATATTTCAAGGGGCAGAACTAAAAGACTGTTTTTCTTTTCCACCTTCATCCAAACCCACCTCCTTTGTGGCTTTTATCCCTCCACTCTAACCTCTTTACCTTCCTCTCACCCTGGAGGGCTCACTCTCCACGCATACTAAGCATTCTACTCATCTTTTGACCCCTTTGTTGAAATACCTGCAGCAGTTCTTGCAGAGGAAAACGAAAAGCCATGAGTCTAATGTACACATTTCGTTCCATCCATTCTAAGTGGCAAGAGATTGTTTTCGAGAGACTATCTTTTTCTGAAACGTCTTTTAAATCGTGTTACCAACATTCCTCTCACCCTGCACGCAATCCAATTTGGAAAAAGAGACGGTCAATCTTGTGACAGTCAGAACAGTGACAACACGAGCGCCCGCTGCCCTCTGCTGTGTCATATTGACTATAATTGACTGATGGCTATTGAGTGGAGCTGAGGCCCATTAGAGAATTACCTTGCATGTGCCTGGACGAAGCTCTTACAGTATACGTACTGAAACACAGCACATTCCTCTCAAACACATCAGGGATAGATAATGGAGCGCTGAATGAAGAGGGTGACTCACCTTAATGAGGCTGCTGAAAAACGAACTTGTAGCAGGAAAAGGTTTAGACATCTCTCCTTCTAGATGCAGGAAGTCAGACATGTACTGTACTGTGTATGTCAACTATTGCTCTTAACTTTCTCCTTAAGTGTGTCAGTGTGTGTGTGTTTGCGGACCCTCCCACATTAAGCAACACTAAAGCTTGATGACACTCTAACTTCTTCTAAAGGATCATACCTATAAACAGTACTGCTTCAAATTCTTATACTAAGATAGGTCTCACAAATGTAATTGCAACATGAACAAGGTTGTCATTATATTTACTTATATATATATCATATAATTATAAAACATTTGGTTTTCATTATTGTTCAGTCTTTCCAAAAGAACATCAGACAATAGTACAAAATGCCAGTCCTTGATAATCTCCTAGCCCAAAATTAAAACAATTTGAAGAAAGGGACAACAATACATTATTGTTCTCAAAAATGACTTAGACAGCGAATGAATCGATAAAGTAGTTGCTGGTTGATTTTCTAATGATTGTTCTGGCTCTAAATGGAATGATGTCAGGTTCAATTTTTAAAAAATTATCACAGAATCTGAGACGAGAAATCCCTTTCTGAATGTAAATATAATATATATATAATCATATTGAGAAATACTGTGCTGCTCAGTGCTCACACAATGCAACACTAATTTGAACTGCTATTCAATAGTCCAAAATGTGTCTTTATCTTCGAATAAATAACATCCAGCCTTTGCCTTCCGCTCTTCCTAAGTGACAGCCAGCCAGAGAGGAACCCCCTCCCCAACCCTTAATGTCAGCTCCTGTGCCAAGCTGACCCTCAAAGTGCCAACACTACTGCCAAACCAGCAACCACGCCGTCTGCCCTTCAGCCACAAACCACGGCTAAATATTTTGACAGGGAAGCATTTGCTCTCCAGTCGTGTGTGCTGCTTGCCTGCAACAAAAGCAGATGTAGCCAGCTGTCATTTAGCATTAGCTCTCTGGCATACAAAGCCCAGCGTTACCCTAGACAGCCGCTAAAATCTCATCTTTTCCACTGCATATTTGCAGAGAACAGTTTGTATGAGGATCAGAGAGGAACTATTTCAGGTGTGCATTGACATACTTGACCATAACTTCTCTGACTTTCCCTGCCAATAGGAAATGGGCAAATAGTGGTGTTACTAGTTTCTTTGCTGTTACTGTGTGACCAGTTATGCTGGTAAAAAAAAGAGCATAAATATGAATGAGAGACAGATAAGATAGATGGAGAAAGAACAGATCCCCACTACGGATATAACCGCATGTCTGGCTTTTTTTGTCTGTCTATAAGACAAAAGCCAAGCAGCGGGAAAAAAGTAAAAGTACAGTACAAGACCTCATAACATCCCTATGAAATAGTTTCAAGACACACAGACAGGCAGTATA